ACCTGCGAGCGGTGGAGCAACATCCAGTTCATCAAAGCCCCTGGCCTCCGCGTCCGGTGTCTTCATCCGAGGAATTCTCTCATCATTCCTCTCGCTTCTCGGGCCATTCAGGATCGGGGGGCCTTAGACGCCATCGTGCAGAGTCTCCACATGCACTTGAACACCATCGCCATCTTTCATCTCCAGGCACGGAAGATGTCCGGTTCCACCAAGCCAGAATGCCATCAGGCCACACCTCCATCCCGACCCCCCTTAACTGGTCAGAAAACCTACGCTCTCGTCCTCCTCCCCTGCCATCCTCTGATAAGCTGCTGTCAGGTGCAAGAGCACCTCGTTATCCCCCAGAACGGCATCGCCCTCGTTCACCTCCAGTCGGGGAAGATGTACAGTTCAACCTAGCCCATACCTCAGCCCCTTTCTCCCAATACACGTCAGGATTCCCACCCTCTCGTCCACCCCTGCCATCCTCCTTTGAGCCACCGCCGAGACCAAGAGCACCAGCCTCAGATGTCGCATCGTTCACCTCAGTCGAACAGATCATGGCGCAGGAAGGGGGTACGATGTCCTTGCTGAAAGAAGCTATGATTATTCGAGGTATGCACAGTATATTACGGCGTTCTATTTGCCATTCTCACACTACGTGATGATATCGACAGGAGCCCCCCCTCTACCCATTCGGCCCCTTTCCCCCACTCCCGAGGCTGCAGACCATGTTCGAAAATGGAGGGAAGGGCTATCTCGTAAGTGGTATACCGTTTTCATTTATCAGGCCATTCCAGTCTAACACGTAAGGTTACCTCAGAATCCGCTGTCAAGCGAGCTTACCGTCAGACAGCAATCCGCATCGTGGCAGTAAATACCCGTGATGTTTGTCCTTACAATGGAACATATGCTTCCTAGGTTGATGCCACCCCTCCAGCAAGAACAAGTGTCTTAAACACTTCTCTGAAGTATCGGGAGTTCGTGGACTTTTGCCAGAGACCAGTCAGCTTCGACCCGCTTTGTCCACACCTCACGCTCATTGAGTGCCACCCCCCATTTCGTTATATCGAAGCGCCGATCCTTAACATTGACTTGCAACGTTCTGCTGATAATCTGAATTGGCTCCCAACGTCTGAGTGGAGGGAACGGATCATAGGCATGCAGTCTGTGCTGAGTCAACTTCTTCGCCATGTCCAGAGCACCGTCTCTCATCTCTGCCGCGCCGAGATCCTCCCCAAACACCGTGAAACCATGGCGATACTGAAGCCTGAATCGGAAGCCTATCTTCAGAAGCTTCTCCAAGCCCGAATGATTGCGCAGTCCGAGACTTATCACCATGAAACGGTTGGCGAGATTGAACGCCGGATCGGAGAGCTACGAGGGCATTTTCGCTACTGCCTCCTTATTTCCCTTGATGCATGTGCCATATTGGGTGGTAACGAGCTTCCAACCTGGCCGCTTCAGGAAGAGGCCATCAGGACCATCTTTGATGGTTCAGACGGCACCCGTACTGAGGTCCACGACTCCAACCTTAGTGCCTCTGCCCAGGCATATGCTCTCACTCTGGAACGGTGGGGAGTTCCCCATTGGAGAGTGGAACATGGTGACAACCGCTTCGCCGTCTTTCGATCATGTCTGCCCATGCTTGATTCGGTAGCAGAACATGCCCTTCAGCAGGAAATACGGAGCCGCGCTCACTCCAAGAATTTGCAAGGCGCTGCAAGGGGAGACATCACTATAGGATTTGACTTTGCTGTTACAGAAATCATTGCGTGGCCCCGTTGTAACGGGTCTATCACCTAGACTCGAGACAGAGAGAAGGGGGAGGGTGGTAGTGTGCGCAGGTGTGGTTCGTGAGGCCGGGTTTTGGTCCGTGGGTGCTACCGAGTCTGCAAAAACCTCAAACAAACACTCACCTACGTCTCTCTTGGACGTCAAGGCTGAGGATTCTGATAAGAGGGGTCTTAGACGTGAGCAACTAGCTCAGAGGGGGCGTTAGGGTCGTGGATGGCGTCTTTGCCACTTGGATGCAACTTCTGCTTGTCCCTTCACGGGTCTATTCAATACTAACTTGTTATGTACAAGCTGTTATCTAGTTTATATATGTTGGAAATGAAATGAATGGACTGGGGGAATGTAAACGGGCCGTTAGGCAACCGTAAATGATGAATATCCAATTGGGAACAAAGAAACAATAAAAGAAATATGAGTGAATGGGGAAAATGTGACAACGGGTCCGAAATGGGAATTGTGAAGATTAACTCCGCAACAGTTCGCCACAGCACCCGCCTATCCTCCCGTCAGCAACCTCCTCGTCTCCAGCTTTCCAACGAGCCCTTATTCATCCCATTTGGTGCAGTGGTTCTTGAGATGTGGAGAGGGGGTGAAATTGGCGGCGTGGTTGGGCGTGGGAATTTGGCTTGGGGCTGTCGGGAATGATGGGGAAAATAAGGAAAAATATGGAGTGAGTGTATGGAGTGTTGGATAGTGATAGAATGAGTATCGGGAGCGTCAGCGGATATGTACTGCGTGTTAGTGACCAAATTCCGCAGAATCCGACTTTTTGCGGTACACGGAGTTGTCCCCACAACACCGTCCGCCGCAGCAAACCCTGCTCGCAGCTCCATCAAATGATTTTTCTGCTCAGCTCTTTGTGATGGAGCAATGTCTCACAGCGCTTGCCCCTGAGGGGTTCCTATCCCATTCAAGGACTTCTCTGCCAAGGTGAAGAGCGTGCTGCAAGGAGTCTGGGTAGACTTGAAATACGAGGAAGGCCTGCATTCTAGTGCGGCCTTGGAGGGAACAAAATGGAAGACCATGAGAGTCCCGTTCCCCATCGGCGCCCATGCTCCACTGAAGGGTTTGTCAGAATCCCTTTCTCGTACTACCAACCTCATCATCCTCTTCTGCTGTCATTTCAATCCATACCTTGTATCGTCCCGCCTAGCGCTACTAAGGAGGGCCATCGTACCCCTGATGTGTGGCTAGGCACATCCATACGGCTGTCAGGTCCGGCAGTGGAGCTGCGCGATGATTTGGAGGCTGTCAAGCGGCAGGGCGTTCTTGCGTATCGAGAAGTATGTGACCGCACTGTGAACCAGGAAGTTGTTGGCCGGGCTGGTACGACTCACTGTCTTAACTTGCTCTGCAAGACACAGGAGGGAGCTCAAAGCCTCAAGCGATACCTCCAAGCAAGATACCCCGATGCTGTTCTCAAAGATATTGAAATGGAGGACTATATGCCAAGCGGGTACACCGGTGTCTATGAGCTTGGATATATCAGCGAGACCCTTTCTCGTGGGTTTGACAAGACCACAGTCATGACTCTCCTGGATCGTGCACCAGCCCCTCTCATCCCTCAAGGTCCAGACACCATGCCTAGTGAGATAGCCAAACTCTGGGCCCGGATCTACTCACAGGACCTCTTTGAATACAATCGCTTCCAGATCATGACGACGACAACCAACTCAGGACGCATATTGTTCAACGTGATTGAGGTGACGTTCAGATCTGATGTGCTTGAAAAAATGTGCCTGCGTAGGCCCCTCGAGTTGAGTGAAGAGGAATATCTAGGTCTCCTTCGTTTCTGCCTCATCCTTTGTCGCCTTCGCCGCTTCAAGCATGCATTCCGCCAAAGGATCTACCCTGCGGAAGGTTCTATCTACCCCCGTGTTGTTTGTTTCATTGCCGATTCTGCAGGGCACCTTTTTGAGGGCATCGAACTTCGAACAACGGAGATGTTGAAGAGGTCAGGAAACCCGCCTCAAGATGAGTTTGAGTCTATTCGCTGGCAGCCCAAAACTGGCCTCTTTGCACTTAAAGTGGCAGAGAGCCCTCCTGCTCCCCCAAACAGGCCGACTGTGGAAGAATTACACTCCCATTTCCAGTTGTAGACGCAGTGGCCGTCTGTGGCCGTTTCCTATGTACGCTAAAACCTGCAAGCTGCCCTACTCCCATTACCTGTTGCTCAGCCCATGGGTTGGGTTCTATAACAGCGTGTTTATTGTAAATAACTTCGAAAATACAATCTATTACTCTGGCAACATGTAGGCCCACATATTGATAATGTCTTCCTCCTCGCCAGCCTCGATCTCATCAAGCAACTGTAACACCTGCATTGCAACGCCCCCGCCATCGGCACCCCTTTTGCAAAGCTCCTGTCCAGCAGTGTGAACCATTCTCCAGTGTTGCCCAATGTTCAAGACATTGGGAGGTGGCTCCCGCCTCTCAACATACTGGGCGACGATGTCAATCCTCACAAGGAGTTCAACATCTTCCGCCGCTAGCGCCCGCAAACGAAGGCCTGGAAGGATTCTCCGTGCGCTCCGCCACACTGAGTGGCGTGCACACTTGAAGAAGGCATCAAAGGTAGGAACCTCACCACTCATGCTCGTTGTTGAAGATGGTGCCTCCGATGGTTCACGAGCTGCTGTCCCTCCATTCACAGCAAGGTGTGTGCCTCCGTTATTTATGATCCTTGACACCTCTCGAACCCCAACAGGAGTACTAGCCACTGTCCCTTCGTTCACAGTGAGGTGCGCGCTTCCAGTATTTATGATCTTTGGTGCCTCTTGAACTTTGATGGGAGTACTGTGCAGCGTTGGATGGATTAACCTAATAGGCGGGATGACCATTGGCGTAGGCGGCTCCATATTCGTTTTACTGGCCTGTGCTGTGAAGACATCGTTTTCCGGTTCATCAGGGAGTTGCAGCCCACATTCATGCCAGGGGGCTTGATGTGCGGCCTGCGGAGATCCAGCTAGGTCTATCACCTCCATTTTTACTGGCGAGGAAGACGTGCTCAGTTCAGGCAAGTGTTTGGGCGGTGTTTCAGGCACTGTTCCCTCATCCTGTGGACCCGACACCTCGCACTCAAGTAGGGCAGTCTTCCTTGCCTGTTTCTTGGCCCTAGGTGTTGCACGAGGACGTTTGGTTGAGGTGCGCATACGCGTGGCTCTAGACCCCCTTTTGATTCGCTTAGGAGATGGGGTGGGTATTGTGCCGTCTCCAATTGAACCTCATTCCATAGACACAGTGGTAGGGTCTGGGGTGCTTCCCTTACGTTTGTGGGATGATGCCAGGATGATGGCCGTTTTCCCAACTGCTCTCCTTACTTCATTTTGAGGTAATGCATATTTACTGATGTTGCCGTTCCCATCCGGTGCATAGTGTAACACCTCACGCTTCAGGTACTCATCTGGTAAGCCCATACCCATCAGTCATGCCTTTTGAGTTTCATTGACATTCACCGTACCATCTGTCATGTGTTCCACCCTTAAGGTCTGCACCGGATCCTCATGATCGAACTGTAACATGCACCGTGCAGTTTCACGTGGGGTCCAATCACACGGAAGCCCTCTGTTTAGGCGTCGAACACTGCGATGCCAACCAGCAAAACGGAGACGGTGTTCAAGCAAGAACAGAAGTATGTTGACGCCTCTCCAGTTGTGCCCAAGGTCCATTATGCCTGTCGCCTCCTCTACAAGTAGACATCACCAATGAGCAAAGCGGATAGTGCTGCAAAAGTAGGACATACGAATCATGGCTTTGAGCTTCCCAGCACAATCAGTGCGGCGAACGGTATGCGCCCCATATGCCCGGTCTATAGTGCTCAGGCCTTCCTTCATCTTCAATAAAGGTGTGTGATAATCCACATCCTCTGCATCACACTCAACCTCTGATTTCACAGTAGTGTTACCCAAATATCGGTCCAGATCATCACTGAAATGGACGCTTTGCTTCGCCTGCATCACAATGGACTTCATGAGACCAGAGGCCCCAAACACCTCACTGGTAGGAGTTGTTAAATGCTCCAAGATGATGAAGGAAGTCTCTGCAGCAATTTCAGCCTGTGCAGACTGCGAGGAGAAGTCACTCATACCTCTGTTTGATGGCGTCAGGTTGATATGGGCTGAGGGGGATACAAGTAAGCCAACAGTACCTTCTAAACATAAACCCGTACCTGAATGCCTTTATTCCATCGTAAAAGTTTCTCATCGCCAATGCGGCATCCTCTGCAAGGGGTAGGCCCATAGCTTTGACCATTTCCGCGATCATCGGAGAGCTAGTAAAAGCGATAGTCGAGTCTCGAGGGGAAAGTGTGTCGTCTGCTATGAATCCCACTACAGCCACACCAATGGGGTGAATGGTGCTGAGTGCGGCAAGCTACCGCAAAGCCTTAGTTGAACCAAATCTAGTAGTCCCTAGAATCCTGTCCACTGTACCTGAGCGGCGTACTTTCCGGTTACCTTCTGCAACAGATAGAGGCCTTCGTTGGGTTTAGCATCCCTTTCATCCTTTGACAAAACAATGTCTCCACAATGTATCAGGACTTTTTCGTAAAATGCATTCGCCTCTGCCGCGCAATCAGGGTAGTGCTTCTCAACAGCTTCTTGGTGTGATTTACGCAGCCTTGCAGCCTCTTGACTATCAATTCCAGCTGGGAAACAATTAGTCCCGAATATGGGCTGCAAGTATTATGGCTAGACTTATGGTGAAGCTTGAGCCATGCCTGCCAGGCCGTTTGGCCCGCTTCGGAAGGATTGTGTAATCGGAAACGTTTCATGACTTCTTGGGGTGACCTCTCCCTTTTCTTGGCATAGCCTGCGATGCAAGCTTCCAAAAAAACTGTGCAGTGGCTTCTAAGTGTTTTTAAACATTCCAATAGGTACAAATGTACCTTCAAGGCTCAAATCATCTGTGACGTGTCCATTCTCTAGAATCTCGCCAATATCATCAACTGTCTGAACAGATGAATGACCCCATATCTTCTGCACAATCTCCTTCAAAATTTTCTCCGGGGGGGCAAGGGGTTGAAATCGTGGTCTGTTTGCAATTGAAGTATGCTGCATAACTAGCTCTTTCAACTCCGCAAATGGACCCTCTGTAGCTCTGAGGAATTCATTGGCAGTGGGAGCTGTTGTCAAAAGGGTGAGGCCACTGGATAAGTCGGCCTGAAGGGTGAGGATTGACGTGTCAAATGTGCTAGAAGACGCATTCTGCAAGGGGGAGGACATTCTGGTGATCTCTTGTCTTAGTGGCTGCTAGGTCAAAATTGCATCCGATCCATCAAATTAATCAAGCTGAACAAACATAAAGGTAGCTGCCTGTATCCCCACCGTTTCACCCTCTCCTGCCCCGTTCAATACACCCTGTATACTGCAACATTGTAGACACAAACACCAAATAAAGTATTTGCCATTCTGCCCATCCCTGCCCATTATGTGGGCCACATCCATCCGGAACCATCCAGTAGCCGATTTCCACCCCAGCTCCCCGTTTGACTTGCCTGGAGTGTTCAGTGCCCTGGGTAGAAGTTCTAGGTGGCGCCCGGGAAATTTGGTAGGCGACGATCAAAGCCGACATTTGTATTCTGAGAATGTCGGGGATTCGATGAAAATATTCTGTGTGCGCACAATATTGCTCCTGAGTCCTGCTCATGTGAGTTGATACAGGCCATCTGCCGTGGGGAACATCTTTCTGTTGGAAAACAGCGCGCTAGCGCGGCCGTGCGAGTTTTCGTACAGCCACATTCCCACGGCCGAGCGAGGAACTCGCCCGGCCAGCCACATCTATTTATTCATTCTTTTGTATTCATTTCGGACTATCCCGCTCCCAAACTACATGGGAATTACCGCTCTTTGAATCACTTTTTCCCTCAGTTCTCTTTCGCATTATTTGCTTGAGACTGAGTTGCCCCGCTTCGCTAGCAATCTCATATTACTTTACTTTCAATGAGCCAAACAGCGGGATCTGCGGAAGGCCTGCATGCGGTCAGCCTAAAGCGCGGTGGCAGTGCTACCGCCGTTTGACCACATTCATACCCCATCACTCATATATCACGCGACCACATGCATTCCCTCCAAACGGGACAATGCCGGCTGGAAGGATCCAGGATATAGTGTAACTTCCTGGTCACCATGGCACCTTCATCGATCGACCCTTCCTTTCACCCCATCCTCATCACCTTTGTACAAACTGCATGGCCACCTCTCCGATCCTGTCCGGATCTTCACCATTTCCGGCGAGTTTTCCGGGCGCAGAATCCCATTGAGTGAGGATTTACTCCATGCTCGAATGGTCATGGAGGCGAAGCTACCTGATTCGTCAGAGGAGGCTGATAGTTGGGGTGTTGAGATTGATTATGATGCCCAATTCAACGACTCTGATGTTCGTAATGGTATTGTGACATGTGCAGCACTCTCCCTCGATGGTCATCATATAGCTCTCGGTTTTGGTAGTGGTGTCATCGAGCTTGCCGATATCGACCATCAGTGCACGATTTCCCGATTCCAGCTCGATCCACCCAACCATCCAGTCTGGATTGAATTTGTCCACGGCAGCCACCGGGTTGCTGCTGAGGACAATGAAGGGAACGTCACCATCCTTAGCCATGATACGACCCCCATTAATCTTGGGACTCTTCCCAATGGTCCTCTTCCTGCTGTAACTCGAGTATCAGACAATGGATTATTTATCATACGGGTTCCACGGGACACTGATAACTCTTGGTACGACAACATGACTCTCATATCCATTTTGGGCGACCCACACATGCAGCTCCTTGCTTCTCCTCCCGAGTCCGACTCTCTTGCCATTATTCACCGCCACAAGCCTGCTATTCCTCATCGTCGCACGCTTGGATTTTCTCCGGGAGCACGTTTTATTGGCGCTTTTGATGGGCTCAGTGCTTTCACCTGGTCGACAGATTTGGGTGAGCTCATTGCGCGTTATTGTGTGACGGATTTCAAATTTTGGATTATGAATCCCGCTGTTCCCCTTGCCTGCTCTTACCACATCCCTGATCCTGTATCTCCTCAACCTACCCTTTCCTCGGGAAAACATGGAGTGACAGATAGCCATCAAAGTTCCAAAACAGATGCGGTGGATAACTTGGATGAGTCCTGGATCAAGTGTCCATTTTATGTTATCTCACAAAGCACGAAGGAGGAGGAGGAGGGGTTGCGGCGGGAGTCTGACATCCGTTCATTCGCTGCAGGACGAACCCCACTGTTCGGAACCGGTATAAAACGCACTGGGCTACCAATGTTCTTCAATGGAAAATTAGAATTCGTTATTCCCAAGGAGTATCGACCAGTTGTTTCTTCTCATGCCAAAGGTCTAGGCGCTTGGTATGGTGATCGAGTGCCGTCTGATCCTATCTTTTTGTACAGCCCTCGGTCCAGCCAAGATGGGACTCGAATTCTCTTCCAAGGCTGGCAGACAGCTCCAATTGTTGTTGATCTTAGCCAAGTCATTTAGGATGTCCGTAGTCAATTGCGTATTTACCTTGCGCGCTCGTTCTATCCACTATCAGAGGGGGGCAATCTACCTACCTTGTACTGTCATTTAGTCCTGGGTCAGACAAAATTAGTGTTGCGACCACAGAGATTTTTTGATTTTGCTCTTTTTATAGTTCCTCAATTCACTTTCACTCCGTATCGACTGAGTCAAATTTTCCGTTATCACTTCTTTGAACGCACTAAAAATCGATATTTCCTTTCCTAGTTCTATCGTTTCACCAAGCGTTCATCCTCAGCTGCACATAAGTAACGTAACAAAAAGACCGACGTAGTGTAAGTGCTAGATATGTGTCCGTGCGAGCGTTTAGTGAAGATCCTCACTAATACTCACGAGATATGGAGCCAAGAGTGGAGGTCTTTGCATCGCGTTGAATAACGCCAACGTATGGGCGACCCTGTCCCGACTTAGCCCACGAATTTATGAGGCTCGAAGAGTACCTCGTTCCGCATCCCAGCCTGGTTGCACCGAAACCTGTGGCCAGCGAAAGTTGGAAACCCAAAGAGAACCTCCCACCCACAGTAACGGTGTGGTTCTCGACGACTTCATTCCAGAATCAGGCTTATTGTGTTGACACATCAGGATCCTCAACGCACCAGCATCAGCCTGGGGTGGCTGTTGATTCATGTACTCCATCCGATCCTTGCCCTCGCAGCCTCGGCTGACACATCTGCACGCTCTAGAATAATTTGACCTCAGGTGGCCTGGGCCCAATATCAGGGCATTTTTAATTCTTAATAACATGCTCGCGCTCGCGCATCATCGTGCAAGGACTCTAAAGGAAAACTATCCAACGGAGAGCGCAGGCAGGTCCACTCAATTATTCCAACCTATAATGCCTATGATGGTAATTGTGAAAGTACTCATACCCGAATATCTGTAAGTGATGACTCACCGGTTTGCATGGGGTTCGCTACGAGAGGACGAGCAACCCTAGCCTATTGTTATTTTCTACGTCCACTGAAGCTTGCATATTGTGAGGGTAAGGGACAGAGAATGTTGCCAGCATTTGGTCAAGAAATCCCCGGGGTTCGGGACTGCGCGGGTTAGGTTCAGTCTGACTTACTAGGCTAAAGCAGCCTCGGCAGTAACAATAAAACGATCAATTAGTATCATCTGCTGTACAATGATACTTATCAATGTTGATTATCGTCTGCAGTGTGCATGAGGGCTCAAAGCGAGGGGTGTTGAACCATTGCTTCCGGGGCGCTCCCCGTCCCGGTTGAAGTCCACCCCACGTTCTTCTCGAACCCTCACATCCCGACTCCTATACCACGGTGGCCCACATAAGTTCGGCCAACGTTCCCTTAGAGCATCGGGGCCTTTCTCGTCATGCTCCCTATGAACAGGCTCGCTCAGAGTTCTGTCTGTTCCTCCGTTTTGCAACGCCCATCAACTATCATCCCTTCTGGTCGTCTCGCCTTGCCACCCGAGTTCTCGTCCTTTGTGATATTTTTTTTTGTTTACTGTGTTTTGGTTCTCCCCTGCCACATTTTATAGTTACCAACCCTATGATGGTCCGCTTTGGTGCCTCAGGCCTCACCGCAACCTAAACCTAGCTTACGAAGGATTTTCTCTGCAAGTATGGAATGATCGCTCTCTGGCAGGGAAAGATATATCCCTGGCACGGTTACGAGAATGCTGCTTTCGGATACTATGAGTTCCTGCCAACTTCAAATGGAGGCATTCAGGATGATTTACGATTCCCTGGGCACCATGCTTCTCATGGGACTCAAAGGCTCCGAAGAGTACAAGCGCGTGGTGGAGCATGTTGCGAAGCAGACTTTCAGACGTCTGAACCGTCATTGCGAATTGCGAATTATGATGATCTAGTTTATCTCTTTTGATTCTGAACGGCGAAATCCCTTTCTTAAAACAATTATTCTCTACCTAGGGGGATTGCTGTCTGCCTATTGATTTTCCGGAAACTTGGCACTCTTGGAGAAGGCCAACAAGGTGTCGCTGACCAACTTATCGCATCACCAACCACCCAACAATGGGACTCCTTGCGGGAATTGCCACATGCGCGATGGAATCAAACTGCTCGAATGGGACAAAATCTACAGGAAACGCAGACGAAGGATGAGTTGTGGAGTATATCTTATGGGGTGGGGAGTGGTAGCTTGGTTGTAGGTCTGTTACATGCGCCTTTAGGTTCAACTGATTTTGGAGACAAATGCCGTGATCTCCACTTAGCTCACATGGCGGTATGGCAGACAGTGCCGTAAGTTACAAGCTCATCTCATTGTAGAGTACATATCTGCTAAAAGGCTGCCTCCTCTCTGGCGAGTCCGAAAGCAACGTCCGGACATGTGTAAGACTTCTGTTGTTCACAACCCGTCGTAAAAAGTCCTTAAGATCTCAAATCCGTTGAAGGCGTTATACTTTCCTCCATCCGACCCGTGATCTCCTCTAGCTCTACATCGCCTCCGGGATGCCTGCGCTACCAATTTGATCGAACGCCTCGCGTGCCTTTACACCTGTCTCCCTGCGCTCGGCATAGAGACACTTGGCTCGGAGCTCGTGCAAGAACAGTCGGGCCTGGGCTGCTGAAGGACTGACGAATTCATGCTACCTAGTATAACGCCAAGGCAGAACGTGGTTACAGAGGCAGTAAAGGAGTGGCAGAAGAGAGAACGTTCCGGAGGTGTTTTACTGGGTGTGAATGGCGCAGTGAGAACTATGGCTCCAGCGTCCAAATAGGTAGTGTAGGAATAGCCGAGCTCGAGGAGGTCTTGGCGACATTAACTCGCTTGTTGATTTTCCCCAACAAGCCACTCGGAAAGTTCCTCAGGAATTCCTAACGCGAAGGGCGCCACATTCTACCATGCAACGATGACGCAACGATGAAAGGCGTTCATAACAGGGGATCCAATTAGCAGTGAAAACGACAGAGTGTTCTTTTCAAGATGTAGATGTGAAGGGATATTTCCTTGAACTGCCGCTCCCTCCATTTCTCGACAATGATGAGCTGGATTGTCCACCACTCCCGTTGAATGGAAATAGAAGAAATGCCTCCCTTGTGCGAAATTGGGCGACAACGCTCTTGGCTCGGTTCGACTCTGTGATACCCGTCCAGTCAATGTGAGTGAAAACCATTGATATCGCGTATTTTGACGATGCGATGTCAGAATTACAATCCATTCAAGCTATCCAAGGAAAACCGTGCAACAACCCCAATCCGCGATCGGAACAGTCATCTTCCTTACTACAAACATATTACTCTATCTTCATCACCCTATTCTGGCGAGTTTTCTGGACACACAATTCCGTTGAGTGAGACTTTACTCAAAGCGCGAACGGTCAAAGTTGCCAAAGAAGGTTGTGCGCAGGAGACCAATTACGAAGCCCAATTCAACCAACGGCGTTGTGACATGTGCAGCATAGTATTCTCCCCTGATGCAGTTCTTATCTCACCCTCAGTTCTAGTAATGGTATCATCGAGCTCACCGACATCGACCATGAGTGCACTATTTCCTGGTTCTACCCAACCACCCTAGATTGGTTTTGTCCATAGCAGCTGCCGTATCTCAACGGCCCCTTTCCTGCTGGAAAATTGATGTCACACGCTTTGGTACGACAACATGACGCTCATACTGACGACCCGCACGTTCAGCCCCTTCCGACCCTTCCGCTCCATCCTTCCACCCGAATTCTTTGCTAACCATTCCTCGTCGCGCGCTTGGGCCTCCTCCTGGAGCGCGGCACTTCGGCGCCCCCGATGGAGCCAGCGCTTTCACTTAGCCGATGGAGCCAGGCGAGTTCATTAGTTAAGGATGTCAGTTCTTGGACGAATCCCACAGTCCCATCACATCTCATCCCACTTTTTCGAACCGGATGCACGACTCAATCGCATCCCATTTTACGGCCTCCCACCAAGCGCGCACAAAGACCTTAGCGTCTATTCGTTTGTTGCAGGGAGAACCCCATTGATCTGGGTGGGAAACATGAGCGAGGGACCAATGTGGTTTGACGGAACAGAGTCTGCTGTCTCCAGGCGGTACCCACCGGAGGGTGGGTTGCGTAGGAGCCCCATATGGTGATCGAGTGCCGTTTGATGCTGCGAATCACGAAGTCTCTATCACCTCCGGTCCAGCAAGGATAGGACTCGGTTTCTGCTTCAAGGCCGGATGACGGCTCCTATTGTTGTCGAAATTAGCAAGTCGCCACTCCCTCATCCCCACCTGTCAGTCACCCAGCTCGAGCGTCTTTCCGCCGCTGCATTACATGTTATCCCCTGACTTGCACATGACTGCGCTTGACATTTTTTAATATTAAAAGTTAATAGTGGAGGGGAACAACACGAGTCCTCCAGCTCTAAAGTCGAACGGCGAAGCACCACCACCCCGAACAAGGATGTGGAAGCAATAGCATAACTCGTATCTATCCACATCAAGATTTCTTTGCACAGATCAGTTAAACCAAGCATCCTCCTGGCATAGGTTGCTGCACTCATGGAATCACCGTCCGACATCCGCCTATGCTCATTGATAAACATTGCTCCCATGAGACTAGCAGAAATATGAACTGAGAATGCTGTGAGCACAAGGAGCCGCATTCCGAACAGATTATCTTCGTTCGGCATGAAGATCTGCACTTGATAATTTTTGAGCAGAACAGGCCCTCCGTCGTTGTCAGACTGTTTATTTGACCCCCTTCAAATGCCTTTTACTTTGACGATGTTTGATGCTCTGGATAGATCCAGATAGCAATGTCAAACTTACTCCTCACCAGGTCGGAAGCAGAGTGGGTTGGCGGAAAGAAAGGAGACAAATCACTTTTTGGGATGCTTTCGAGTTGGTGGCTCTGAGGAAGAAACGGGAGAGCTGGACGTTTAGCGTGTTAAAGAGTGGCAACCCGATGGAGCTATGTTGGTGTGTCACGGGGAGGCACATGAGCAGAAGATATAGAGAGAACCAAGTTGAGGGCGGCTGGACGAGAATATAGTGGACTCTTGATTAGGAAGGTATACGATACAAATATATGTAAATATGGGTTTCGAGGTCGTTCTTCCAACACACCCTCTCGAACGAAGAAACTAAGGATAAAGAAGTATAAAGAATGCAATTAATAAAGAGCGTGTGATTCAGGATAAGATCCATCCACAACTGCTAGCTTCGCATGTCCCTTCTCCACTGATCCAGACTTGGTTGTATTATTTTTTTGACGGCGACGTGCTTCTCGAGTGCTGATGTCACAGTTACTCCGCATGTGGTCCGAAGCACCACAGTTGTAACAGGTACCCGGTGTTTTATGAGTCCGGGTAATGTTCACCACAGCTGGCCCATCTATAGAAGCGGCTTCGCGCTGACGGGCTTCTTCATTTAACAATCGTCTGATGACTTCTTGAATAGTTGCCAGATTTGCTGAATAATCCGGGCTATCGAGGAGGGTGTCGACAAGAACAATAAGGGGAGTGTAGGATTCAGGGAGATCACGGATGAGGGTGTTTACAATGTCGATGGGGATCATGGGGGAATTGCTATCGGCAAGACGACGAACCATGTCTTCAACCTTCGTGACCCAATCCCGCATTGAGAGCTTAGGGTCATAGCCCATTGAATTGAATTGACGGCGAAGTCCAGCAACGGAACTGTGGCCTTCGGCACGGAATAATGTTTGGAGTTTCTTCCAGGTGCCACAAGCGTCAGAACTATCGCAATGTGTGATGTACTTGACCGACACATTTAGTAAGATTTCTGCGGCTGCGAGGTCATGTTTCTTTTGCCAAGCGATGACGGTCTTGTGGTGCACGCTTCCAACAGGTCGGGGTGAATCACCAGATACAACGCTCCAAAGGTCCTTCTTTACCAGATAGGCCTTCATATACATTGCCCAGGCTGCGTAATTGTCGTCATTGAGTTTGTCAAAGGGGGTAGAAGCGGGCATGTGGGAAGTGAAAAATTAAGAGTGGGAAGCAAGCAGTTTGAAGAAAATTTCACCCTCTGAAGGGAAATTTCCGGTGGCCGTGAGAAGCAAATTTCGTGGCAAGGAGTGGAAGGGGAAATAAGGAATATTGCATGCCTGTCTAAGGACTTAGAGCAAGGGGGTGATGAAGGGGTGCCAAGTCCGACCTTAAAAATGGGCGCCGGACTGGACTTGCGTGCCCAACACAAACTTGAAGAATGCCACACACTGGCCTTAATGGTGGGCGCCAGGCTGGACTTCAGTGCCCAAAAACAATGCCTTAAAGGACTTAAAAGGATGCCTGGTGTACAGGACTTAACAAATGCCGCATGGGACTTAAGATACGGGGGATTGCCCCTGCCTCCGCTGAGGACTTATGAAGGTGGTCAACTGCACTTTGACCAACTGCCGCGAGAGTCGGGCGGACTTCCTTGATACCTAAGCTTGTCCAGGCGAGCCGCCTGGGCTCATAACCTATAGAGAGAACCAAGTTGAGGGCGGCTGGACGAGAATATAGTGGACTCTTGATTAGGAAGGTATACGATACAAATATATGTAAATATGGGTTTCGAGGTCGTTCTTCCAACAGAAGAAACAGAGGGAATCGATAAAGCACGATTTCTAGGCAGGGGAGGGACTGATAAGAAGTCCCTTGTGGTGCGCTCGTGTGATTGCCATATGAGAGCACAGAGCCTGATCGAGGCCATCCTGTGCCTTCGTCATCACTCGAAGTATTAACATCCTCCACCCACCCATTCTTGAGGACAGTAGTGCCCAATATGCGTGGAAGACTAGACATTCCATCTTCAAGTAGAACGACAGCGAAATAGGATACTTCTGCTACTTGGGTGGAGGTGCGAAGTCGCCAATTAGAGGTAAAAGTGGACACTACAGAGAGGAGCCCAACAGTAATAGCCTTGAAGCGCGCGACGATTGAAATGTTTTGCGCATCAGCTCTATTAAAATATACTGGCTGGTAACCCAACAAACTAGTGGGTAATTGTTGCTGAAATTTCGTCCAGTTTATGTCGGTGTCACACAAAGCCATCTAGCCAGACACAGCCCACCGTCAATAGCTTGGATTCCTATACGAGGAGCTAGGAAACCATCCAGAGCTGTTCTGGTATGACTCGGAATCCAAGCGACCGAGTTGTTCGCTGTGGCAGGGAGCGGTGGTCCGAACCAAATAACCATCAACGACGGAGACCGTGCTAAAAAAGCCGCTTGCAAAATACTCAAGGGAGCGCAGTAAATACAAGTGGGTTTTTTGGATTTCGTTATCGGCCCTAATACTTTTGGTAGCGTAGTTAACAATCTATCGCCGGCATAAAGGTACTTTGATACCTGTTGTCCTACTTTGGCAGTGGTCAGGACAGTACTGCTTTATATGTCGTGTGGTTGGGGCTGTTCAACTCTCCTCTCTGCCTGCAATACCCTCCGTGATTGCTGATACACAATGTCTGGTCGATTTAAGTTTTTCAAAAGCAAAAGGGGACACTCTCCTGCGCCTCCTGGTCCTGTTCCCAGCCTCAAGAACACATCTTCCCTGGCTGAAAACGATAGAACCACCCGCAGAGACCATGGTGGATCTGATGGATATCATCTTAAGCCTCCTACTGCTGCTGTGTCAGGTGGGCGTTCTCCGAAGCAGCGGAGGCCGTTTCTGTCCGCTGTATCTAGGCTATTCAGCAGAAGCCCCAGTCCCAATCCTACTCATATCAACCAATCGAGGGCCTCTGATACTGTCCCCTCTACGCTCGATCCGCCATCCCCTAATCTATCACCATCTCCCCTCCCTCATACAATGCCCAGCGAACACGTCATCCATAGCAACACTGAGGAGGCCCACCCACAACCAGGACGTACAGGTGTGGACTCAAATATTCCGTCGTCAATGGGTCAAACGTCGCCACCTTCGGACGTTCCTGCTAGTGACGGAAAGAAAACAATCATCGCCGCCACAAGGCTCGTCCTCCAAACTGCTGCCTCTGCTCTTAAGTTCGTCCCTATTGCGAATCTCGATCAGATACCAAGTATTCTCCTGACGTGGCTGCAAGTTTATGAGGTTCGTAGCTGGGAGTTGCGATTTTGTGATCTAATGATATGACCTTCATGTTTTCATGCAGACTATTGACAACAATGACGAAAATCTCAAGGGATTAGACGATGAAGTTCGAAACGCTCACGAAACGATCTTTAGGCCTCTCCAGTTGTGGACTGGCCAGGTTCCTCCTGAAATTCGCCAGCTAATTCAACAATTTAACTTGTATGCGCATTCACTTTAATTTATCGCGCTCTCATTCCAAATCTCGCCTCCCGATGACAGGGCCCTAAGGCAGCAGTTGAGGCAAATCGAAGCACTCAAACGCCGAAAGCTTGCCAAGAGGGTAATCCTAGCGACTGAGATATCCCAGGAGATAAGCGCGGTGAAGTCCTGTATCAGTGATACTGTCTCCCGCTTCACGGTTTGTTTTGTCAGTGTTCAGATAGTCCGTTGACTGACTGGGGCATGCACCATAGACCGCTGCGACAACTCTGAATCTCCTTCACACTATTCAGTCATCGGTGGACCGTTCGTTGTTGTTCCCTGATTTCACTGTTTGAAATTTAATGATATTCCAGGTGAACTCTCGAAACTCTACAAAGCAAAGGCGGAATACTTTGCGGTGAAAAGCAAATCGAAATGCCTGGAAAACACCCGTATCCGGATTCAGGCATCGATACTCGATCATTTGGAGGAACGGAAGCACCGATTTGTCTGGCTTCGTGGCTCTCCGGGTACTGGGAAAACTGCCATATCGATGAGCATTGCCTCGGCTCTCAAAAAACAGGGTCGCTTGGCGGCATCTTTCTTCTGGGATAAAAATCGGAAGGGAGAAGGGCTTGCTTCGATTGAACACTTTCCCTCTACTCTTGCACGCCAGCTTGCCTTGTTTAATGTCGAGTACGAGGGTCTTCTTGTTAGTCAACTTCGACAGACCTCGGCACTGAAGGACCTCCCAGATTCTTCTCTGGAAGAGCAGATGGGATCTTTGATTGTCGATCTCACGCACAAACTCTTATCTTTGCGTGAGGAGCGTTCCATTATCGTCTTGGATGGACTGGACGAGTGTGGGGCTCAGGAGGAACTTGAGTCCTTAATGAAGCTAGTACTTATCCTTGATGAGCTGCCAGCCACATTTGCCGTGTTGGTCAGCTGTCGGCCTGAGTCATCCGTTGTGTCGGCTTGGGCTGGAGCTCGGGCTCAGGGTCTCGTCATACCATGTGAGGATGTGGACATTGTTGCTGAGGAAGAAAAGTTCCACACTATCCACCGCATGGTGGAGGAAGGCCTTCGGGGTTGCATCGATAAATCTTCTTGGAAACCATCAAAAGAAGATGTCGATGCGTTTGTCTCAGCGTGTCGTGAGTTGCCCATTATTGCCTCGATCCGAATCCGGGATGTCTCCCTTCAAACTCATCGTGGTGCAACCCTTCGATCCGAGTTCAAATATTTTCGTGATCTGATCGATGCCCCTGTTGATGTCAACTTGGAGTACCTGCGTGTGCTTCGCCGTGCCTATATGGTTGGCTTATCTGGAGTCCGTAAACATATCGCGGAGAAGTATCGCCAAGTGGTTGCCACGATCAATGTGGCACTCGAGCCACTAAGTGTATTCTTTATATCACAGCTGTCAGGAATTGCCGAGGAAGAGGTCCTAGCCATATTGGATCCAATTCGCTCAATTGTCGATCTTTCTTCAGAAATTGGCTTGGAACATTCTTCGGAAAGTCCTCCAGAAAGTTCCTCAGAGGAACCGTAGGGCGTCAAATTCTATCATGCAACGATGAAAGAGTTTATAACGGGGGATCCGATTGGTAATGAAAATGACAAAGTATTCTTTATCAGGGATGTGAATAAGTATTTCATTGGACTGCCACTCCTCCGATTTTTCAATAATAGTTGCGAGCAGGGTGTGTTTGGGGAGCCTTCCATTCTCCCTTTAGGAGATAAACGAAAATGGAGCGATTTTCTGAAGAGAGAACACCCCCATCATCTCCGATATGCTCGTGAACACTTATTAGAACACCTAGACCCCTCGCAACTCTTTGCACAAAAGTCCAATTTGCAGAACGAGTTTAATACATTCCTCACGCGAAACTTGGTTACATTTATGCACTTAGCACCATTGTATGAACAGAATCAGAGATTCCCCGATGGATTTGATAAATTCACCGTAAGTGAACTCATTTGTGCCACACTTATTTTAAATAATGTAATGTCACACAGAACAATGATTCATTCAAACTCTTGAGGGAAGCTCGAGAAAAGCAATCAGTGGAATATTCGCTCTGGGAGTCCGGCGTTTATGCGACTTCGTCAACACCATGGCACCTCCATCGATCAACCCTTCCTTTCACCCCGCCCTCATCACCTTTGTACAAACTGTACGGCCACCTCTCCGATCCCGTCCGGATTTTCACCATTTCCGGCGAGTTTTCCGGGTACGGAATCCCACTGAGTGAGGATTTACTCCATGCTCGAATGGTCATGGAGGCGAAGCTACCTAATTTTCCAAAGAAGGCTGACAGTCGTGATGAGTATGATGCTCAATTCAACGACCCTGATGTTCGTAATGGTATTGTGACATGTGCAGCACTCTCCCTCGATGGTCATCATATAGCTCTCGGTTTTGGTAGTGGTGTCATTGAGCTTGCTGATATCGATCATCAGTGCACGATTTCCCGATTCCAGCTCAATCCACCCAACCATCCAGTCTGGATCGAATTTGTCCATGGCACCCACCGTGTTGCTGCCGAGGACAATGAGGGGAACGTCACCATTCTGACCCACAATATGACCCCCGTGAATCTTGGTGCTCTCCCCAACAGTCCTGCTGCAACCCGAGTATCAGATAATGGATTATTCATCATACGGGTTCCACGAGACTCTTGGTACAACAACATGGCTCTCGTGTCCATTTTGGGTGACCCACACATGCAGCTCCTTGCTTCTCCTAGCTCCAACTTAGGTAACTTTGGGTTTGGTGTTCCCCATCGTCGCACGCTTGGGTTTTCTCCAGGAGCACGTTATATTGGCGCTTTCGATGACCTCCGCGCTTTCACCTGGTCGACAGACTCGGGTGAGCTCATTGCGCACTATCGTGTGACGGATCTCAAGTTTTGGATCATGAATCCTGCTTTTCCCCTCGCCTGCCCCCACCGCATCCCTGATCCTGTATTCACTCGACCTACCCTTCCGTTGACAGAAGGTGGCGCAGCAGATATACATCATTCCGAAACACGTAATTTGGACGAGTCCTGGATCAAGTGCCCATTTTATGTCCTCTTGCAAAGCGAGGAGGACACAAAGGAGGGGAACGTGCAGGAGGAAGAGATTTATTCATCCGCTGCTGGGAGAGTCCCACTGTTAGGGTCCCATGGAGGACGCAGGGGGCAACCAATGTTCTTCAATGGCGGTGTAGAATTCATTATTCCTGAGGAGTATCTACCAGGTGGTATTTCTGGTGCCAAAAGTCTAGGCGCTTGGTATGGTGATCAAGCGCCATTTGATTCTACCCGTCTGTACAGCCCTCGGTCCAGCAAAGATGGGACTCGAATCCTTCTCCAAGGCAGGCAGACAGCTCCAATTGTTGTTGATCTTAGCCAAGTCGTTTAAGATGTTCGTAGTCATCTTCCTATTTACCCTGCGCATCTTGCCCGCTGCCAGAGCGAAGTTTAAGTTGCCCTCCCACATCCCTCGGACGAGGTTCCGTTTCCCTACGGCACTATAAATAAAGCTCGAATACTTCAACAGATCTCCTCCCTTGCACTGTCGTCGAGTCCTGGGTCGGACAAAATGAATGCTCAGCGTTGCGACCGTAGAGATCTTTTGATTTTGCCTTTTTCATAGTTCCTCAATTTAATCAACAGCAAATTTTCCGTTGTCACTTCTTTGAACGTACCAAAAATCGATCTCTCCTTTCCCAGATCCATCGTTTCACCCGACGTTCATCCTTAGCTGCACATAAGTAATGTAACAAAAATACCAACGTACTACAAGCGCTTGGTATATGTGTGTGTGCGAGCGCGAGCGTTGCTCCGAAACCTGTGGCCAGCGAAAGTTGAAAACCCGAAGAGAAGTTGCGCCGTATTCGGATTAGTCTCAAGACCAATGCGCAAAGAAATAGGATAGGTATAGTTATCCAAGCTTAAGCCCCCCCACCCACGGTAGCAGCGTGGTTCTCGACGACTTCATTCCAGAATCAGGCTTATTGTGTTGACACATCAACGCGCCGGGTGGCTACTGATCCATGTACTCCATCCGATCCTCGCCCTCGCAATCTTGCTGCACGGTCCAGGATAATTTGATAGAAGTTGACCTCAGGTGGCCTGGGCCCAATATCGGTAACTTTCGGGGCATTTCTAGTTCTTAATAACATGCTACCAGTAGTGCATGCTCACGCATCATCGCACAAGGAAAACTTTCCCGCGGAGAGTGCAGGCAGGTCCACTCAATCGTTCCAACTTATGATGGCAATTGTGAAAGTATACCCAAATATCAGTAAGTGATGGCTCACCAGAGGGAAATGGTTGGGGTTCACTACGAGAGGACGAGCGATCCCAGCCTATTGTTATTTTCTACGTCCGCTGAAGGTTCTTGGATTACGAATCCCACAGTCCCCGCCACCTGCTCGCTTCTAATGATCCGTTATCCACTCGAGCAGACGTGTATCTTTCCGAAGCAGATGCAGGGAATGGCTCATATGAATGTTGGATCAACCACCCATCTTACGACCTCTCACCAAACATGCACAAAGACCTCAGCGTCTATTTGTCTGTTGCAGGGAGAACCCCACCGCTTTAGATCGGAAACGTGAACAAGGGACTACTGATATGGTTTACCGCAAAACCCATCCGTTGGTTCTGTGACGGGTGACGTCAACCATCGAGGGACCCGGTATAGTGATCGGGTGCCGTTTGTTGCCACGAATCTCTACCGCCTTCCGGTTAGCAGGGATGGGATTCAATTTCCGGACGACAGCTCCAATTGTCATCGATATTAGCCAAGTCGTTCAGTGTCATTGCGATTTCTTCCTCTTCATTTGCTAGTCCCCAAGCTCGAGCTTTTTTCTGTTACTACGTCATTTAGGATTGTGTGTTGTCAGTACGCCGCTTCACTTAATATCCTATAGCATTCATAAGAATGGGTCAGTAGCATCCCATACTCAGTACTGTTGAAGGGAAAAAGATCTTCTAAGGCTGAGCGGCAAAGCTCCACGCCCCATGAGGATCCAGACGAAACAACCGATCAACTCGAATATACGTACAGTCAAGATTCTCTGTCGTTTGCCAGCTTCTGGCTTCATCCCGCTTGACGCCGCCGGGTTCAATTCCCTCAGTATTTCCCTCATGCAACTCCTGGAAAGGTTTATGGTTCCTTCAAGTTCCTGCTGACAATCTCCTTGCCACCTCTCGATGCCTACCCCGGCTCCCTCATAACCTAGCGCTTTGGGGAACCTGGTAACTGTACTACCAGTGAGATCCGAGTCGCATGTCACTCAATGATTCATCCGTCAGACCCGACTACTTGTGCCAAGTGAGCCAGGCCACCATGCAAAACATCAGGCAGCTGCTGTCTCACGTCCATGTCCAGAATTAAGCTGGGCGAGCAAGTAAATCAGAATATAATAACCATCTATGGCAAAACATAATGCCAGAGGCCAGTGAGAATGGATTGCGAGGGACAACGGCAAGAATTAAATAAACCTCAGTTATCAAAAATACTTGGAAGATGCATTCAAAACATTTACAGCATTCTCTGCGATTCCTGCTCAATACCGCGCTCGCATAAAACACAAGCTGAGTTCCAGTGGCAATTCGCCGCTCAGCCACTGAGCGGGGGTGACGTGGCCTTGCAAGAGACTTCTTGTAGAAGCAATGGGATGTCACCGCGGAGCTGTTCGCAGGGGCGAGCGAGAGAGGATTCGAGGAGTCCCTCAGGTCCTGCAGTGTCAGGAGACAGTGAACCCTAGTTATAAGTTGGAGAATCTATAGCGATCGGATAGGGCCGTGAGAGCGAGAACGGATCGTGATACGCTGCAGCTAATCGAGGACTGAGCAGATAGCTCTTAGCGAGAATGATCGTGCGTGGGTTTGGGTGTGAAGACATTGATCCCTTCAATTGCAACTGTTGCAAGAAGCGCCAGCATTGGAGCACACACAGATAGCCATTGGTGCGCTATGGATGATGATCAGACATGAAATTGGAGTTAGGGAGAGGAATTTCACAGCGACTTCTGAACTAGGACAATGCCGCATAGAATGTTTGAGGAACTGGTTGTAAGGTCGATGTTACCTGCCTTTGGTTCATAGATGCCGAAAGGAAAAATTACTAGGAAGTGTAGCAGTTTACTGAACGTTGTACGGCTCGATTAAGCCACTATCAGGTCGTCCCATAATCCAAAATAAGATACTGCCGTTGAAGAGCAATCTATACCCGAAACCCTATCAGCACAAGTCAATCCAGAGGTTTCAGGGACTCACAAGTTTCGGCAACGCACATAGCACCTCGTTCTTGAAATGCCTGGGGTGATGTCCCCGCTCGGCACGAAGGTCTGTACTTGAAATTGTCAAGCTGGACGTTCGTTTGGTAACATCCCGACCCTCTTTAACTTTATTAAGTCCGAATGTCTTCACCTTGTTGAAGATATTTGTTGCTCTGAATAGATTCGGATGGCGATAGAAAGCACCAAACCCAGAAATGAGAGGAGTGAGGCCATCGATTGGAACTGACGGACAACTAGGATTGACCGTGGATGCTGTAGATCGAAAGACATCTGGTGGAATAGAATTAAGCGCATGACTAGATTTATGGAATGAGCCACCGAAAAATAATATACTTGTCACGGGCTCATGAATTATATGTCTGACTTGTCTGACTTGATCGACATACTGAGGTCCGGATTCAAATTTTGTATTACAAATGTAGAAGTCACGCTCTGCTTTCAATACAAAAGTCACATGTTACACGGGGATAAACCCAGTCCGATCCATTCTGGGGGCAACACGCTTAGGCATTTGCCGAAGTCTGAGAAAACAAGTTTGGGGCATGCGAGGTTCCCATGGGAAAATCTAGTTACTTTGTATGAAGTCGGCAGCCAAGCCTGTATTGGGTGGAACTACTTATATATTACTTCGCATGCAACAACAGTATTGGGTGTTGTGGTCCAGGTGGTAGAGTGCTGATTTGTGGTTTCTATTTTGAAGGCATGGGTTCGACTCCCACTGTGTACATCTTTTTATTGTGTTCCAAGCTGGGCCTGAATACTTATATGAAGGCATGGATTCGGTTCTATTTTTTCCTAATTTACTGACATTGTGCATAAAAAATTTCCACTGCAACCACATGGGAATGCAAAAACAAAAACACAACAAAAAAAAACAAGATTTACCCCTAGTGGGAATCGAACCCATAGCTTCAAAATGAAAACTACATGCTGACACTCCACCACCTAGACCGCAACACCCGACGCTTTTGTTGCATGCGAAGTAATATATAAGTAGTCACTCCCAACACAGGCTTGGGTGCCGACTTCATAGCAAAGTAACTGTCTGGGAACCTCCAGACTTGTTTTCTCAGACTTCGGCAAATGCCTAAGCGTGTTGCCACTCCCAGAATTGAGTAGGTGATCGGACTTGGGTTTATCCCCGTGTAACATGTGATCTTTTGTATTGAAAGCAGAACGTGACTTCGACATTCGTAATATAAAATTTGAACCCGGACCTAAGTATGTCGATCAAGTCAGACAAGTCAGACATATAATTCATGAACCCGTGACAAGTATATTATTTTTCGGTGGCTCATTCCATATAGATTGGCATTCCGTCTGAATTGGTGTCATCGTCCTATGACTAACGCGACTTAACGGTTGGCCAAAATGATTATGTACAAGGCATAACGTGGGAAGGCAAAAAAGGAACAGCGTCAGCTTTTACTAATAACGTTTACGTTGAGTGATATGGCCGAGCCACTCTTACACATCCAGTCAGACACACGGACATCAGCATCTCATATAGTTCCCTCCCTCAGTGGCCCTCTGGCAATGTGCCTCAGCACAGCTGCTTTGACTCAAGTTACCAGAACAGGTCAGGATATCACCCTCATCGTGTAGGGGTCCAGGATATCGATGCTGGGTTGTGCGGAATCAGTTCGAGCATAGTTCGCCATAGAAATATGAGGACAAAGCCACGTTCGCGAGATTCTCGCCGTGTTAGTGATGCCTTCCTCGGACCAGCCTGAGATAACTCCTAGCTGAGGACTCAATTTCCATGCTAAATCTGCATCGTTTGCAAAATACCCAAAGGCGCATGGTCAACACAAGCAGATTTTCGGAGTTTGTTATCCAGCGAAATGATTTCGGTAGCGTTGTTAACGTCCCGGCTTTGTGCCGACAAAGGGCATTTCGTATTTGCCATACTGCTTTATTTGTCGTGGGGTGAGCGGCCTACCTATCCCAACTGTTCAGCACCCCCTCAGCGATTGCTAACGCACGATGTCTGGCCGATCTGGGTTCTCTCGGTTTTTCGAGAGACGGCACTCTTCCAAGCGTCCCGGCGGTCCATCGCAACCCTCGACCCATGTTCCCAACATCCAGATCAATCCTCCCCCAACTGCAAAGGATGTAGCCATTAGTGGAGATCGTGATATATTTGAAGAATCTCGTCTTAAATCTACTACTACTGCGTCAACCGGTGGCAGTTCTCGAGATCTAGAGAAGAGGAGGCCTTTGCGGCAAGCTATATCTGAGCTGTTCAGAAGAAGTCCCGGCCCCGATCCCAACCGTCGTACCGACCAATCAAGGGCCCCCCACCCCAAACAATCTGTCCTCTCTACGCCTGATCCGCCATCCCCGAATCCATCACCATCACCCTTCCTCCCTGAGGGGACCATCGATATCTCTCATACAATGCCCGGTAGGCACATCTTCCACGCACAACCAGGCGAGAGCTTAAATATCCCATCGCCAATAGACCGAACAGCGTCATCTTCGCCCGTTCCTGCTGGTGATGGAAAGAAAACAATCATCGCCACCACAAGGCATGTCCTCCAAACTGCTGCCTCTGCCCTTAAGTTCGTCCCCATTCCAAACATCGATCAGATACCAAGTATACTCCTGTCGTGGCTCCAAGTTTACGAGGTTCGTAAATGTTGCGATCGTGTAAATTGATTAGATGTTTTCACGTCTTTCCGACATGCAGACCATTGGCAACAATGATGAGGATCTCAAGGGATTAGACGATGAAGTTCGAAAGGCTCACGAAACGATCTTTAGGCCCCTCCTGTTGTGGACTGGCCAGGTTCCCCCCGAGATAGGTGACCTAATTCAACGATTCAACTTGTATGTGCATTTGCTTCATCGCTCTCTCGTTTAAATCCCAACTTTTGGTCACAGAGCCCTTAAACAACAGTTGAGGCAAATCGAAGCACTCAAACATCAAAAACTTGCCAAGAGGGTAAATTTAGCGACTGAGATAACCCAGGAAATAAGCGCTGTGAAGTCCTGCATCGGTGATGCTGTCTCCCGCTTTACGGTTTGTTTCGTTGGTGTTCAGACTGTCCGATGACTGACTTGGGCATACCCCATAGACCGCTGCGACAACTCTGAACCTTCTCCACACAATTCAGTCATCAGTAGACCGTTGGTTGTTTTCCCCTGATTTCACTGCTTGGAATTTAATGATATATTAGGTGAACTCTCGAAACTCTACAAAGGAAAGGCGGAATACTTTGCGGTGAAAAGCAAGTCGAAATGCCTGGAAAACACCCGTGTCCGGATTCAGGAATCGATACTCGATCATTTGGAGAAACAGGAACACCGATTTGTCTGGCTTCGTGGCTCTCCGGGCACTGGAAAGACTGCTATATCGATGAGTGTCGCCTCAACGCTTGCCCAACAACGTCGCTTGGCAGCGTCTTTCTTCTGGGACAAGAACCAAAAGGGAACAGGACTTGATTCGATTGAACACTTCCCCTCTACTCTTGCACGCCAGCTTGCCTTGTTTAACACTGAGTACGAGGGCCTTCTTACCAATCAGCTTCGACAGCCTTCTTCACTGGAGCGCATTCCAGGCTCTGCTCTGGAGAAGCAGATGAGAGCTTGGATCGTCGAACCCATGCACAAACTCTTGTCTCTGGGTGAGGAGCGCTTCATCATCATCTTGGATGGACTGGACGAGTGTGGGGCTCAGGAGGAACTTGAGTCCTTAATGGAGCTTGTACTCATCCTCAATGAACTGCCGGCTGCATTTGCCGTGTTGGTTAGCAGTCGTCCAGAGTCATCGGTCATCTCAGCTTGGGATGCAGCTCGGGCTCAGGGCCTTGTCATACCATATGAAGATGTGGACACTGTCGCGAAGGATGAGAAGTTCCACACTATCTGCCGCATGGTGGAGGAAGGCCTTCGGGGTTGCGTCAATAAGTCTTCCTGGAAACCGTCAAAAGAGGATATCGACGCATTTGCCTCGGCCTGTCGTGGATTGCCTATTATCGCCTCAATCCGAGTCCGGGATGTCTCTGTTCGAACTCATCGCGGTGCAACCCTTCGATCTGAGTTCGAATACTTCCGTCACCTCATCGACACCCCTGTTGACGTCGACTCAGAGTACTTGCGCATACTTCGCCGTGCCTATATGTTCGACTCATCCGGAGTTCCTCCACATATAGCCGAGAAGTATCGCCAACTGGTTGGCACAATAATTGTGGCGTTTGAGCCACTGAGTGTGTTTTCCATGTCGCAACTATTAGGAATCACCGAGGAAGAGGTCCTAGCCATATTGGAACCAATTAGCTCAATTGTCGATTTTTCTGAAGCAAGTGGCTTGGAGCGTTCCTCAAAAGGATCCTCGGATGACCCGAAGGGTGTCAAATTCTATCATGCAACGATGAAAGAGTTCATAACGGGGGATTTGATTGGTAATGAAGATGACAAAGTATTCTTTATCAAAGATGTGAATAAGTATTTCCTCGGACTGCCGCTCCTCAGATTTTTCAATAATAGTTGTGAGCGGGATGTGTTTGGGGAGCCTGCCATTCTCCCTTTAGGAGATGAACGGACATGGGGAGATTTTTGGGAGAGAAAACATCATCTCCCCCATCATCTCCGATATGCTCGTCAATACTTATTAGAACACCTAGACCCCTCACAACTCTTTGCGCAAGAGTCCAATTTGCAGAATGAGTTTAATACATTCCTAACACGAAACTTGGTTACATTTATGCACCTGGCACCATCCAATGAACGGAATCAGAGATTCCCCGATGGATTTGATAAATTCACCGTAAGTGAACTCATTTGTGCCACGCTTATTTTAAATAATATAATGTCACACAGGACCATGATTCATTCAAACTCTTGAGGGAAGCTCGAGAAAAGCAATCAGTGGAGTATGCGTCTTGGGAGTCCGGCGCTTATGTGACTTCCTCGGCACCATGGCACCTCCATCGATCGACCCTTCCTTTCGCCCCATCCTCCTCACCTTTGTACAAACTGTATGGCCATCTCTCCGATCCCATCCGGATCTTCACTATTTCCGGCGAGTTTTCCGGGCACAGAATCCCGTTGAGTGAGGATTTACTCAATGCTCGAATGGTCATGGAGGCGAAGCTACCTAATTTGCCAAAGAAGGCTGATAGTCGTGATGAGTATGATGCTCAATTCAACGACCCTGATGTTCGTAATGGTATTGTGACATGTGCAGCACTCTCCCTTGATGGTCATCATATAGCTCTTGGTATTGGTAGCGGTGTCATCGAGCTTGCCGATATTCACCGTCAGCGTACGATTTCCCGATTCCAGCTCGATCCACCCAACCATCCAGTCTGGATCGAATTTGTCCATGGCCACCGAGTTGCTGCCGAGGACAATGAGGGGAATATCACCATCCTTAGCCATGGTATGACCCTCATTAACCTTGGCACTCTTCCCAACGGCGCTCTTCCTGCTGTAACTCGAGTATCAGATAACGGATTATTTATCATACGAGTCCCATGGAACAGTGGTAACTCGTGGTACGACAACATGACTCTCATATCCATTCTGGACACCCCGCACATGCAGCTCCTTGCTTCTCCTCCTTCCCACTCGGATGATTCCCCTCGCCATGGCACGCTCACTATTCCTCACCGTCGCACGCTTGGGTTTTCTCCAGGAGCGCGTTATATCGGCGCTTTCGATGGCCTCAGTGCTTTCACCTGGTCGACAGATTCATGTGAACTCATTGCGCATTATCGTGTAACGGATTTCAAATTTTGGATTATGAATCCCGCTGTTCCCCCTGCCTGCTCTTATCGCATCCCTGATCCTGTATCCGTTCGACCTACCCTTCCCTTGACAAAAGTTGGCGCAGCAGATATACATCGTTCCAAAACAGATGCGGGGCATAACTTGGACGCGTCCTGGATTAAGTGTCCATTTTATGTTCTTTCGCAAAACAAGGGGGAGGAGGAGTGGTGGAAGTCTGACATCCGTTCATCCACTGCAGGAAAAACTCCACTGCTCGGAACCGATATAAAACGCACTGGGCTACCAATGTTCTTCAATGGCAAATTAGAATTCGTTATTCCCAAGGAGTACCAACCAGTTGTTTCTTATGGCGCCGAAGGTCTAGGCGCTTGGTATGGTGATCAAGTGCCATTTGATCCTACCCTTCTGTACAGCCCTCAGTCCAGCAAAGATGGGACTCGAATCCTCCTCCAAGGCCGGCAGGCGGCTCCAATCATTGTCGATCTTAGTCAAGTCGTTTAGGATGTTTGTGGCCAATTGAAATATTTTCCTATTTACCTTGCGCGTTCTATCCACGATCAGAGGGGGGATCGCAAAGTTTCGCCAGGTCGCCTTCCATCTTTCTGGACTCCGACGAGATTTCCTTTCGCTACGGCGAAGTACAGCTCGGGCTTCAACGGATCTATGATCACTCTTCCCTTGCACTGCCGTTTAGTCCCGGGTCGGACAAAATGACAGCGTTGCGACCACAGACTTTTTGATTTTGCTCTTTTCCATAGTTCCCCAATTCGCTTCCACCCCGTATCAGAATGAATATATCTGTCCATTTGAGGCACTGAAAAGCTTGCCCAAAGCAAATTTTCTCTTATCACTTCTTTAAACGTACGAAAAATCGGTATTTCATTTGACAGTTCCATCGTTTCACCCGGCGTTCATCCTCTGCTTCACTCAATGTGACAAGAAACCAACGTTATATAAATGCTAGATATGTGTGTGTGTGTGTGTGCGAGCGTTTAATGCCACAAGATATCTGGGCAAAAGTGGCGGTCTTTGCATCGCGTTAAATAAAGCCAACGTATGAGTGATCCCATCCTGACTTAGCCCATGAACTTATGAGGCTCGAAGAGTACCCCGTTCCGCCCCCCCTGTCCCCATCCCGTCCTGATCGCGCCGAAACCTGAGGCCGGCGAAAGTTGAAATCCCAAAGAGAATTTGAGCCGCATTCGGATTGATCCCAAGACCAACGCGCAAAGAAATGGGACAGGTATCGTTATCCAGGCTTAAGCCCTCCCACCCACGGTAGCAGTGTGGTTCTCGACGACTTCATTCCAGAATCACGCATGCCTGGAAAGAGCAACCCTTTTATTGTATTGGTATCCTGACACATCAGGATTCTCAACGCACCAGCATCAGCCTGAGGTGGCTATTGATCCATATACTCCATCCGATCCTCGCAGCCTTGCCAACACATCTTTACCACCGAGCATAATTCAACCTCAGGTGGCCTGGGCCCAATCTGCAACGATGCTCATGCATCACCGCAAAAGAAAACCATTCCGTGGATAGTGTAGGTGGGTTCACTACAAGAGGACGAGGAATCCTAGCCTATTGTCATTTTCTACGTCCGCTGAAGCTTGTATATGGTGAGTAAGGCACAGATTCGAGCGAAAGCCAAGCAAGCACAGTAGAAATATGGTAGGTGTCACCCTTGAATACTCTTGCGACGTGTTGCCAGCTATTTGGTCAAGGTGAGAATAATAGTTCCCGGGGTTCGAAACTGCGCCGGTAGGCTTCTGGTTTACTACGTAGGCTAAAGCAGCCTCAACAGAACGATCAATTGAGATTATCTGCAGCGCTCGAAGCGAGGGCGTGTGCGTATCGAACCATTGCTTCCGGAAGCGCTCCCCAGCTTGAAGTCCACCTTGTTCTTGAACTCTCACATCCCGACTTTCATATGACGGCGGTGCACATAAGTTCGGCCAACGTTCCTCCAGAGCATCGGGGCCTTGTTCGTCGTGTTCCCCATCAACAGGCTCGCTTGGAGTTCTGTCCTTTTTGCAACGCGCATGAACTTTCACCAACCTCTGGTAGTCCCGTCTTGCCGCCCGAGTCCTCGTCCCTTGTGATATTCTTCTTTTTGCTGTGTTTTGGTTCTTTCCTACCACATTTCATTGCATGATGGAAATTGGCATTCCGTCCACTTAGGTGTCTCAGGCCTTGCGGCGACCGGCTGGCCCGCCTCCTACTTTGGAAAAATAAATTTCCTCCGCAAGTATGGAATGATCGCTCTCTAGCAGTGAAAGATACATCCCTGTCTGAGTGGCACGGCTACGAGAACGCTGCTTTCGGATACGATGAGCTCCTGTCAACTTCAAATGGCAGCATCCAGAATTTCAATGGCTTGGGGAGCGGCGATTTACACTATGCTTCTCATGGGCCTCAAAGCCTCTGAAGAGTACAAGGGCGCATGTTGCGAAGCAGAGCTCCAAAGACCATGCGCCGTCGGCACTGTCATTACAATCATGTGTCTCTTAAGTTCCGGCTTAAAATGGCGAACTCTCCTTCTTTGAAACAGTCATTCGTTAGGTGGGTTGCCGTCCTATGGATTGTCCGGCAACTCGGTACTCTTGGAGAAGGCCAACAAGGTGTCGTTGACCAACTTATCACATCACACAAGGTATGGGTCAGGAACCGTACTTATTGTGAAGATCGCCGCCACATGCCGAATAGAGTTCATGTGCCTCGCGCACCTTTCTAGACGAAATGGAGTCTTCCCTTCGATCAGATAATGTCATCGATCTTCTACAGGAGACGCAGATGAAGGATTGGTTGTGGAGAGCAGTACTCGGCCTGGTCGCAAGTGTGTCAGATACGCCTTTGGGTCCAACTACACTCCGTCGGCGATATGGCAGGCAGTGCGACAAGTGATATCCTCATCTCACAGTGGCACCTCTGATTTATTGAGGCGCTTAGTATGAGTTGAAAGGTTACTTCTCTGGCAACTCCGAAAAGCCACTTTGGACACGTGTAAGACTCGCGTTGTTCACAACCCTCCCTCAATCTTTGACGGTGTTACGAACAAGATGCACTTCCCCTGTCCGACTCGTGGTCTCCTCTCCGTCACTTCCATGGAGGTGGGACATCCGTAGTGCCATTGGAACACTTGGCGTGTGCTTTCACCCTGCGCTCGGCATGGAGCCACTTGGCTTGGAACTCACTCAAGAATAATCAGATCCACTCCGCTGGGCGACTGAAGGACTGACCTGGTATACGCAGAGGCGGGGGGTGGTCTGAGTGCTGAAACGAAGTTTGATGTGAAGTTGTGACCCTTATGCAGTAAGGAGCGTGGACGTCCAGGAGGAGTTCCACCGGTGTGAAAGGCGCAGTGAGAATTATTGCTCCAGCGCCCAGGGATTATATAAGAAATAGTGTAGGAATAGCCGATCGAGGAGGACCAAGCCGCTCGGAACGTTCCTCGGGAGATTCCTCAGTGATCGCGGTGGAGCGTCACATCCTATCACGCGACGATGAAGAAATTCAGGGTATTTCCTCGGACTTCTAGCCAACCACCTTACTTTGAATTTGTCTATGGTAGCATCGTGTTGTTACCGAGGATAACGAGGGAAACGCCAACCATCCTTAGCCAGGTAACAATCTCGGTGTATCCAATGGCCCCTTCCTTACTGGATCTCTAGCGTCGGATAATGGTTTATTTGTCGTACGATTTCCACGGAAGATCGATGGGCCTTGGTACGACAACATACCGCTTACATCGGCTTCAGACCACCCGCACATTCAGCTCCTGGCCTCGCTGCTCCTCCTTCTCACTCTCCGATTCTATCTTTCCGCTCAAATTCTTTGTTAACAGTCCCTCATCGCCGCACGCTTGGATTTTCTCCCGGTTTGCAGAGTCGGTTGCGCGTCACCGTGTTGCGAATTTCAGTTCTTGGATCATGAATCCCATAGTCTCCACTTGCTCATACCTCATACATCGACTCCTCCCCTGGCAGAAGGTGACGCGACATTCCGAAGTGAACGCAGAGCATGACCTAGATGGGACCCAGATCATGAAGACCTAGACGTCTATTCACCTGTTGCCGGAAGAATCCCGCTATTGTGCACCGGAAACTTGAGCGGGGAGCTACCAACTGCAGAACAGAATTCTCTGGCCGCCCGCGATGATCTTCGACCATTTGAGCTTGGTATGGTGATCGGGTGCCGTTTGATGCTACGAATCCTTACCGCCTTCCGTCTACTGACAAGAATGGGACTCCAAGGACGGATGACGGCTCCGGTTGTGATATTAGTTTAAGTCGACTAAGATGTCCGCGGTCGTTGTCGCCCTTAGCCATGGCATGGTCCCGTGAGTCTTGGTACTCTCCCCAACGGCCCCTTTCCTGCTGGAACACAGGCCTTGGTATGACAACATAAACGCTCATACTGACGACCCGCACGTTCAGCCACTCCGCTGACCCTTCCGCTCCATCCTTCTACTCGAATTCTTTGCTAGCTGGCATTCCTCGTCGTCGCGCGCTCGGGTTTCCTCCCAGAGCATGCTATTTTCATGGAGTCAGCACTTTCACTTAGTCGACGGAGCCGGGCGAGTTCATTGCGCCTTACAGCGTCAGTTCTTAGATTATGAATCTCACCACTTGCTCATATCTCATCCCTGGTTCTGTATCCCTCGACTCAATCCTCCCCGGTGATATTGCACCTTTCCGAACCGGATGCACGACTTAAATGTGTCCCATTTTCCAGCCTCCCACCAAGCACGCGCGATTGAAGACCTCGGCGTCTATTCGTCTGTTGCAGGGAGAACCCCATTGCTCTGGATGGGAAACATAAGCGAGGGGCCGCCAGTATGGTTTGACGGTAGAACAGAGTTCACCGTCTCTATGCAGTACCCGCCGGTTAACTTCAGGATGGGTTGCGTCAACCATCTAGGAACCTCATATGGTGATCGAGTGCCGTTTGATGCTACGAATTACGAATCTCTATCACCTCCGGTCCGGCAAGGATGGGACTCGACTTCTGCTCCAAAGCCGGATGATGGCTCCAATCGTCGTCAAAATTAGCAAGTCGTTTACGACGTTCGCAGTCGTTGCGATTCTTTCTTCCCCACTTGTTAGTCACCCGGCTCGAGCGTTTTTCTGTCACTGCGTTATATATTATCCTCCGATTTGGATATTACTGCGCTTGAACATTATTGATAACGAAAACACTGGTGAAGGGGAACAACATCCTCTCTAGCTCTGGAGTCGAACGGCGAAGCACCACCACCCCGAACAGGGATCTGGATGCAATATCACAGCTCGCATATATTCAAATCAATCTTCCCGGCATTGGTTGCTGCACTCATGGTATCCCCATCTGACATCCACCTATGACCCATTGCTCCTACAAGACTGGCAGAGATCTTGTCACTTTGAGGACTGACGATGCGGTGAACACCAGGAACCGCATTCCGAACAGATTGTCTTCGTTCGGCATGAAGATCTGCATTCGAAATTTTCTGAGCAGAACCAGCAGGCCGTTCGTCGTTGTTTTCCCAAATTATTTTAAGGCTAAACTCCTTTCACCTTGCCGACGATGTTCAAAGCTCTGGATAGATTCAGATAGTAATAGAAAGGAGTGTCAAACTTACTCCTCACCGGGTCGGAAGCAGAGTGGGTTAGCGGAAAGAGGAGACAAGTCATGAGGCGATGCTTTTGAGTTCTTGGCTCTGAGGAAGCACCAGGAGAGCTAGGGGAAGGATCGAAGGAGCTACGTTGGTGCGCCACGCGGAGGCACTGGGGTGACAGGACTCCGCGTGAGCAGAAGAAACGGAGGGAGTCCATAAAGCACAATTATGTACTAGGTAGGAGAGGAAGTGATAAAAAGTCCATTGTGATGTGTTCGTGTAATTGCCGTTTGAGAGTACAGAGCCTGATCGAGAAGATATCATGTACGGATGGGACTTCGTCATCACTCGGAGTATTATTAATGACATCTTTCACCCACCCATTTTCAAGGGTAGTGACGCTCGATATCATTAGGTATTCCATGTTTTAGAACGACAGCGAAATAGGACACCTCCGCTGCTTGGTTACCCGAAGGTGCGAGGTCACCAATCAGAGTTAAAAGCGGACACTACAGAGAGGAGTCCAACAGCAATAGAGTCGTACGCGCAAGATTGAATATTATATAATATTTTTCCCATTAGTCCTATTACTCGCTGGTAACCCAACAAAATAGTGGATGCCTGGTAAGTAATTTGTCTAAATCTGTGTCGACGTCACACAAAGACACCCAGCCAGACACAGCCCACCATCAATAGCTTGGATCCCTATACGATGAACTAGGAAGTCATCTAGAGCTGTTCTGGTATGACTTGGAACATTAGAATCGAAGCAACCGGGTTGAAGCATATTGCTGAAGAGCGAATAACCGAGAGGGGTAACAAGGTGGACACCAGACGAGACTCTGGTGTTCGTGTGTGCAATCAATTCGGATATTCGTGTATGTATAGGATAGTTCGTTGTGGCAGGAAACACAAGGACGTAGGCTGGTCACCTGTCTAAGACTGCGTGGTCTTCGTCGTTTATGGCTATTTGGTTCCAACCACCAAATTATTTGAAAAATACTCAAGAGAACGTAGTAAAGACAAGTGGGCTTCTTGGGTTTTCTAATACTTTTAGTTAACAACCCATCCCCGACAGAAGGATATTTCAATATTTGTTGACCTGCTTTTGGCAGTGGTTAGGACAGTGTATGTCGTGTGGTTGAGGCAGCTCAGCTCTCCTCTCTGCCCACAACACGCTCCGCGATTTCTGATACACAATGTCTGATCGATTGAAGTTTTTCAGAAGGGGACTCTCTCCTGCGCCTCCTAGTGGCCCATTGCGACCCTCGACCCCTGTTCCCAAGCTCCAGACCACTACTACTCCAACTGAAAGCGATGTAACAACTAGCACAGGTCACGGTGGATCTGATAGATCCCGTCTTAGGCCTCTTACTACTACTGGTGGTAGTTCTCGCGGCCGGAAGCAGCGGAGTTCTGTTCGGCGCACCATAGCTGAACTGTTCAGCAGAAGTCCCGATCCCGATCCCACTCATATCGACCAATCGAAGTCCTCCAATCCCAGACAACCTGAACCCTCTACGCCCGATCCGCCATTCCCTAATCCATCGCCATCTCCCGTTCTCCCTCACTTGATACCCGGCGAACCCATCATCTGTGGCAACACTGAGACTCACACACTACCAGAACGCACAGGCGTGAGCTTAGATGCGCCATCGTTGATAGATCGAACACCGTCATCTTCAGCCGTCCCTGCTGGTGACGGAAAGAAAACAATCATTGCCGCCACGAGGCTTGTGCTCCAAACTGCCGCCTCTGCTCTTAAGTTCGTCCCCATTCCAAACCTCGATCAGATACCAAGCATACTTCTGACGTGGCTGCAAGTTTATGAGGTCCGTATGTAGGGGGGTTGCAATTTTGCGATCTAATGATATAACCTTCATATTTTCATGCAGACTATTGACAACAATGACGAAAGTCTCAAGGGATTAGACGATGAAGTTCGAAACGCTCACGAAACGATATTTAGGCCCCTTTTGTTGTGGACTGGCCAGCTCCCTCCTGAAATTCGCGAGCTCATTCAACAATTTAACTTGTATCTGCATTCACTTTGTCGCCCTCTCGTCCAAATCTCACATCCCGGTGACAGGGCCCTAAGACAGCAATTGAGGCGAATTGAAGCGCTCAAACACCAAAAGCTTGCCAAGAGGGTAGTCCTAGCGAGTGAGATATCCCAGGAGATAAATGCGGTGAAGTCCTGTATCAGTGATGCTGTCTCCCGTTTCACGGTTTGTTCCGTCAGTGTTCAGACTGTCCATTAACTGACTGGGGCATGCTCCATAGACTGCGGCGACAACTCTAAATCTCTTCCACACAATTCGGTTATCAGTGGACTGTTCGTTGCGCTCCCTTGTCCTTCGCTGCTTGGAATTCAATGATATTCCAGATGAACTCTCGAAATTCTACAAAGCGAATGCGGAATACTCTGCCGTGGAAAGCAAGTCGGAGTGCCTGGAAAACACCCGTGTCCAGATTCAGGAATCGATACTCGATCACTTGGAGAAACGGGAACACCGATTTGTCTGGCTTCGCGGCTCTCCAGGAACTGGAAAGACTGCTATATCAATGAGTGTCGCGTCAACTCTCGACAGACAGGGTCGCTTGGCAGCATCTTTCTTCTGGGACAAAAATCGGAAGGGTGCAGGACTTGCTTCGATTGAGCACTTTCCCTCCACTCTTGCACGTCAGCTTGCCTTGTTTAATGCCGAGTACGAGGGTCTTCTCGTCAGTCGACTCCGACAACCTTCATTGAAGGATGTTCTTGGCTCCGCTCTGGAGAAACAAATGAGAGCTTGGATTATTGATCCAATGAACAAACTCTTATCATTGGGTGAGGAGCGCTTCATCATCATCTTGGATGGACTGGACGAGTGTGGGGCTCAGGAGGAACTTGAGTCCTTAATGAAGCTAGTACTTATCCTCAATGAGCTGCCGGCTGTATTTGCTGTGTTTATCAGCTGTCGTCCAGAGTCATCGGTCATCTCGGCTTGGGATGAGGCCCGGGCTCAGGGCCTTGTCATACCATATGAAGATGTGGACGCTATCGCGAAGGGTGAGAAGTTCTACACTATCCGCCGCATGGTCGAGGAAGGCCTTCAGGGTTGCATCAAGAAGTCTTCCTGGAAACCGTCAAAAAAGGATATCGATGCATTTGCCTCGGCCTGTCGTGGATTGCCGATTATCGCCTCAATCCGAGTCCGGGATGTTTCTGTTCGAACTCGTCGTGGTGCAACCCTTCGATCTGAGTTTGAATACTTCCGTGACCTCATCGGTGCCCCCATTGACGTCAAATCAGAGTACTTGCCCATACTTCGCCGTGCCTATATGTCCGACTCATCTGGAGTCCCTCCACATATAGCCGCGAAGTATCGTCAACTAGTTGGCACAATCACTGTGGCATTCGAGCCACTGAGTGTGTTCTCCATGTCGCAGCTATTAGGAATTGCTGAGGAAGAGGTCCTAGCCATATTGGAACCAATCAGCTCAATTGTCGATCTTTCTGAAGAAAGTGGCTTGGTGTCAAATTCTACCATGCAACGATGAAAGAGTTCATAACGGGGAATCGATTGGTAATGAAAATGACAAAGTATTCTTTATCAAGGACGTGAATAAGTATTTCCTCGGACTACCACTCCTTCGATTTTTCAATAATAGTTGTGAGCAGGATGTGTTCGGGGAGCCCACCATTCTCCCTTTAGGGGATAAACGAAAATGGAGCGATTTTCTGGAGAGAGAACGTCATCGACCCCATCATCTCCGATATACTCGTCAACATTTTATTAGAACATTTGGACCCCTCACAGCTCTTTGCACAAGGGTCCAATTTGCAGGATGAGGTTAACATATTCCTCACGCGAAACTTGGTTACATTTATCCACCTGGCACACATCGATGAACGAAGCAAGGGATTCCCTAATGGATTTGATGAATTCAAGGCAAATAAAATCACTGTGTCACGATTATTTTAACATGACGTCATTTTTTAACAGAATTGCAATTCGTTCAGACTTTTGAGAGAAGCTCGAGAAAAGCAATTTGTGTCGTATTCGGATTGGGAGCCTGGGATTAATCGTGTAATTTCCTGGGAACCATGGCACCTTCATCGATCAACCCTTCCTTTCACCCCAATGTCATCACCTTTCCACAAATTGTATGGCCACCTCTCCGATCCCATCCGAATCTTCACTATTTCCGGCAAGTTTTCTGGACACACAATTCCGTTGAGTGAAGATTTGCTCAATGCTCAAATGGTCATGGAGGCAAAGCTACCTAATTTGCCAAAGAAGGCTGATAGTCAATATAGTCGGGTTGTTGGGATTGATTATGATG